CCACTCACACTCTGTTCTTCTCTCAAAATCTCTTGTCGCCTTTCACTGCCTACCTACCACTCCGGCGTCAAAAAAATCAGAAAAAAAAAAAAAAAAGAACGAAAGAAAAGAAAAGAAAAGAAAAAATAAAATAAAAGGTTTTCTTCTCAACTCAGTAAATTGAGGGCCCGTGGAACCTCGACCTTAATCCTATATAGAGGGGACCCCTGCAACCATAGGTGCCCGCCTCACAAACTGATCTCCGCTCTTTGTGCGAAGGGCTAACTTTAGTAGAGACGAAAACGAGTTGTAATTGCACTATGGGGCAAGATACAGTTTCCCAATTGCACTTCGGCCACCCTACCTGGCCAGAAATCTGGGTCGTATACATTGCCCGAACTGCAATTCAAAACTGTATCTTGGTCCCGCGTAGTTTCCCCTTTTGTGGAGGTAACTTAAATATAGAGTCACTTTTTTTGCCCCCTGAATCCCCGCGCTTTGGCAAAATAGACGAGTTGGCGACTTGGCGCGCAAGCAGCGTGGTTGGGGGGCGAGAGCAGGAGCGGAGATGAGGTCGAGGAACGGGACTTGACTTTATTTTGCAAGCACCTCGGTGTGGGTGGAGCTTAGAATGGGGCAAGGACCTTGGTGTGGGTGGACTTCTTTTTTTTTTCTTTTTTTTTTTAACAATTTGGATCATTTCTCGATTTATGCGTGTCATCCTTGAAAGCGCAGGGGCCAAAAAAAATAAATAATAATAATAATAATAATCTTCTCTCTCTGTATCGTTCCAATTTTAACGGATGTCCCGAAGGACGGTGGACTTTATTTTGTGTTGTGTTATGCGGTGTTATCTTACCATGCTAACCGACTTCGACGTCACTTCGCTGCCACACACGAGTTCTTAAATGCATCTGACTGGAACCACGTCCAGGATCAGTAGGTTGCAAGCACCTTGGTGTGGGTGGAGCTTAGAATGGGGCAAGGAAAGGCAGGCAGAGTTTTCGCAGTGACGCGCAAGCGCTGGTGGCGGTAGATCCCACCGGCAAAGAGGATTGCAGTAAGTGTCTGAATGTAGACGTGTTTGTGGACAGGTGCGAAAATTTGTGATTGATCTACTTTTCTGCACCTCTGCCTGGAACACGTCCAGATTCACACACTTCTTCCAATCCTCTGGCCCTAATTCTCTTTGTTTTTCGCAGCCGTTCGGCGGTAATGTGCGCGGCGGGAGAGTCGTTCGGATCTGAATTTTTGCGCGGCGGCGGGAGAGTCATCGTTCGGATCTGAATTTTCGCGCGGGGTAAGAGTCGTTCGGTGGATCTGAATTTTTCCCCTTCAATTGCCGATTTGATACGGCGCGGTTTTCCACTGCAGATACGGCGCGGTTTTCCACTGCAGATACGGCGCGGTTTTCCACTGCTCTCTTCCCCCGAGCACCCTGATCACGGTCTGTACCGAACTGGAAATATAGGTGTATACATTTATTTTCAGGGTGCGTTAACTTTGGGGGAAGACGGTAGTTCTGGTAAGGCGTGGCGCGGCACGAACACTTCGCAAAAACGAGGATTGCACGCTTGAATCTGCACAACGCTGGGAGAAAGATGCCGAAAATCGCGATACCCCTGCTTTTTTGTCTCTGTACGTAGTGGACATCCAGATTCAGGGCCTTAATCCAGTTCTCGCTTTGCTATAGTGGGCCCTCTCCCCAGTAGATGATGTGGTCAATTGTTTTTTTTTTTTTTTTTTTTTTTTTTTTTTTTCCCTCGGAGAAACCAAGGAATGCGCAGAACATTAGAGAACTCTGGCTTAGATCAGGTCTCTATACGCAGATGTTGCCAACCACTGTGCAATCCTGGTGGCTGTCATGGTTTGCTTGAATATTATCATATTTAAGTTTTCATTGGATGGGGAGTCCAAAATGGACAAGGGGAACAAGTCTTTGTCCATTGTGGTCAACTGTTGCATGGTCTGATTGTCCATTTTTGTGTCCAAGAAAACAAAATATAATCTCGCCTTCATCCCATTCCCATCTTCACTTTACTTGTGTAAAATTTGGAATAAGGGGTTTGACCTTTACCAAGATTGCCATTTCAGTCAGTGCCCCTTCCGCGTCCCCTGTAGGGAGCTCCAGTAGGCCATTGGCCAGCTGCGTTGCCATTACCATTACTCCTTTGTTGGAGTTGGCGCATATTAACGGGATCAGGATTTTTTGGATGTTTAATTCCGTCCGGTCCAGAGTTTCAACTGGGTCTGCCAGGGTTAGTCCACTCGGGAGAGGGGCTTTTCTGACTCGGAGTCTGTCCACAATCCCTGAACTCTCCCTTCGCACATCCCCTTCCCCTACTCCATTCCCCCCTATCATGATGGAGGAGGTGACTGTGGATTCTTCCAATATCGCCATGTTCACATCGTCATCATGTGGCGATTTCTGGGTCCCCTTCATTCCCTTTTCCTTTGCCACCACCATCCATCTTTTCTTCTCTCTTTCCTTGTCCATAGCTCTTTCCCGTTCCCGTTCCCATTCCACCTCAACATGTTATTCATCCAGTCTCAACATGTTTCTCGCCCAAGTAGATATTGCCGTCATTTGTTTTTGTTTTGTTTTTTTGTTTTTTGTTTCTCTTTGAGATATTGCCATCATTTGTTGTTCGTCCATCGTCGACATTTTTCCTTGTGCACCCCCTTTTCCCCATCTTGGGGTACATTGAAGGACTCCCCTCGAGCCACCCAACAGTATTTGCAGGCACCACCAATAGGCAGACAAACTGATTGCAGCTATAGGCGACGGGCACTTCGGACACCACTGCAGGCATGTTCTTCTACGTGCCTGCTCTATGAGCTATCCCCTGATGTCCCCCAGAACGTTTCCCCCCCTAAAGGACCCCTGAGCTATCATAACTAGTGTCTAGTGGACCCTGTCAGGCCAATGCCTAACCTGCAATAGCCCGGGCCCTACCCATAGTACACCCACCTGCGCAGCCATGACGATGATCCAAGTGTATATCGTCTGTGTAGTCACTGTGACAGTCACTCTGTTTTATAGTCTGTAAGCTAGGCGGGCTAAAGACTCGTTTAATGCGGATCATGCTTCGTATGTGAATAATTATATGCTCCACTGGTTATCTCAGTTAAAATTGTTCTAGAACTATGAAAACAATCTAAGCATTCAAAAAGTAACTATAGTACGTGTTCGTTGAGCCGAGAGAAGGTTAGCATCTCCCTCGATAAGGACGGGAATAGTCTACCGACTATATGAACACATACGGTTTAGGCTACCCACCCTCGGGTGGATCCAACCCAAAGTAACAATACAAAACAAAGGGCGAAGTTGGCTCATTTGGACCTAAAATGGTGTCAGTAGCGATGAGGACAACTCAACTTGGAGCGTCCTTGAGGTCCTATTGTGACCAATAGGTTTCGGGCCCCTCATGCTGACTAATACCATCTCGTTCCCTGCTGACGAAGACCTCGTCTGACCTTCCTTCTCCCATCTGTTAGGAGGCAGTAGCAGGTTTGGGGCATAGTATCATGATACCACATCAAGATTATTGTCTTCTCTGAAGTCGTGCCAGTTCCGTTCTTCCCAAATTATACGCAGTAAAATAGTGTGGAAAACTTGACAATGTGTCAATTAGAGCTAACTGGGCCTTTTTTTATTAAAAAAAAAAAAAAAGAGCTAAATTAAATACGGGGCGCCCCTACTTTCCTCTGTGGGCAGTATAAGAGAGAACACATTCATGCGTCCACTCCAAGCATGTACCCATCAAATTGTTTCATAGTTTACGCCACCAATGCCCAAATTCTCATGGAAAAAGGACAGTCAACCCAAAGGTGGTTGGATTGTCTCCCAAGCCCACTTGCGCAGAGGAGAGATTATCTGAATTTTCATTTCCCTACAGACCAGAAAGTTTAACACTGTTGAAATTGTTACCAAAGTGGACTAGAGTCACAAAAGTTTCACTTTTTTTTTTTTTTTTTTTTTTTTTTTTTTTTAAACACACCCTCAGGTGATCGTGGTGCTGGTAAGAGCAGACACCACTACCACCTGAGGAGAGGCTCCATCTATTGGTGGGGAGAGTCACCTGCTGGAAACCGGGTCCAGCGTCCCATATACAGACTGTAATCAGAATGGCATCAGAAAACAATGAAGAGGGTTCCTCCCAGCATTGATTACCCTGGGTTCCAGGGGATTGACTGAGCAGGTTGTTGAGAAAGCTGGAAAAAGCCTGCCGTCACAAAAACCTGCTAACCATAATCTACCGCCCCCACGGGGCCACTGGGGGGCACCTGTGGGGCCCTGGATACCGACTGTAATAGAACAAATGAAGAATGCCCCTGCCAGCATTGATTGCCCTAGGCTCCAGGGGATAGACTGAACAGGGTATTGAAAAAGAAAGACCCAAGTAAGACCTGCCACTGAGCAGGCTATGGTAGGAAATGATTGAGATGAGCGCTGTCTTCGGGGCTGCAGGGGGTAAGCCTCTTCGCCCTGTACCAGGCGCCGAATTTCTGCTGCTGAAGGATTGATTTCCCCCTAAATGTCTAATGATCCCCTTTGCCCTGTGTCAAGTCGATATACTGCTACTGGTACCCCTAAACTCCCAGTGTTTCTGCTTCCCAAAGTTAGGACAGGGGTCCGGGAGGAACCACTGGGGGTCACCAGTGAATCCTTTCGTTCCCTTGCCCCTCCTTCCAAAAGGGCTCATCCCTCTCGGTCCCTGTCCAACCTTCCACAAACAAACTGTAGTATTAAGTCTTTATTGCAGAGTGACGGGCTGTACCCTGGACAGACAAAGGCAGAACAGTTAAAGAATGACCAGAGTATGGACAGGTAACGGCAATAGTTAAGTAGGATGGGGTGACAGCCTGGACGGGGGTACCAACGAAAGGAAGAGGGAGGGTAAAGGCTCTGTGTATCCATAAGGTCAGTTGAATGACCACAGATATACTTCCATAGCCTGTGAGTGGGGAGGGAACGGATCTGGAAAGTCCGCTGCTGCACGCATGGGGAAACTGGGTACTGCTTGCCAGTCTTTAAACTTTCATTGATAGTCCCTCGAAACTTGCTCTCGGAGGTCGTCCTCACTCTCCCCATCATCCACCCAAGTCCCTGACCAGCTTATTCCTGCTATCCAGCCCTCCCGGTCCCCGCCCAGCCATTCTCTAGAAAATTGTAATAGACTATATCATCATCCCAAGCAGGGATGTCTGGCGTGTAGTCGTTGAGGGGCGCAGCGCATGTATCAACACATGACTTCCCTGCTGATTGTCCGCACCGACACATTTGTCATTTGGTCGGATACTCGGCGGAGTTCCCAGCATATATCCAGCTTCGCGCCTACACATTACTGTGTAAGTACCCCAAGATGATGAGGTGCCAAACGACTCCGTCGATATGAGCTCTTGGGAGTCATCAGCCTGTTATCCCCGGCGTACCTTTGATCCGTTGAGCGAGAGCCCTTCCACACGGGGCCCCCGGATCACTATGGCCGACTTTCGTCTCTGTTCGACTTGTAGGTCTCACAGTCAGGCAGGCTTTGACCATTACGCTCTACAGCTGTGCAAAGCGCTAGCTTGATCCTACCCTGTCTCTTATACACATCTAGATGTGTATAAGAGACAGACACATTACTGTGTAAGTACCCCAAGATGATGAGGTGCCAAACGACTCCGTCGATATGAGCTCTTGGGAGTCATCAGCCTGTTATCCCCGGCGTACCTTTGATCCGTTGAGCGAGAGCCCTTCCACACGGGGCCCCCGGATCACTATGGCCGACTTTCGTCTCTGTTCGACTTGTAGGTCTCACAGTCAGGCAGGCTTTGACCATTACGCTCTACAGCTGTGCAAAGCGCTAGCTTGAGCCTACCTTCGCGCGCCTCCGTTACTCTTTAGGCAATTGTGTTAATCTAATCCCGCTTGGAAATGAAAATTGATAGGTCAAGTACCTACACTTTGATAAATCAAGCCTGAGCCTGGAGGCACGAAGTGTTGATTAGATCCCAAGCGAAACGCTTGAGCTTCCAGTCGCCTGGAAGTTCAGACTGTATCATCATCCCATCTTATATATATGGGATGTCTGGCGTGCAGTCGTTGAGGCTTTACGGTCTTAGACTTCCTTCCCTGCTGATTGTCCGCACCGACGCATTCATTATTGGATACTCGGCGGAGGTTTCAGCATATAGCCAGATTTGCCTTTAACATTACTGTGTAAGTGCCCCAGATAAGGCATCCGCCCCAGTGTTGAATAGAAATAAGATCACCACTGGAAACTTGAAAGCTAGGCCGAAGGATAATTTGATTATTAACACAAATATTTTTATGACTTATAAGTTGTCTTGCTGTAAAAATAGTAGAGCAAAAATTCATACGTACAAGAAGAATGTCCAATCTTTTCTCCATTAATAATAACAAACTCTTTTGTTTGTCTAAATGAGTATACGTTTTTTTTGCTACTTTTTGAACAGGCAGATTACCATAAAAAATAGATAATTTTTTAATCGCTTGTAATTTTTGTGAAAATTCACCGGCCTTGTTTGTTTTTTTTCGAGCCTTCGAAAGAATTTTTTTTTGTTTTTGAGTAAGTTTTTTTGTTTGCCAAACATTTTCCAAGATTTGTCGACAAGTTTTAAAAAGTACCATTACGAGCTCAATATATACGAGTGTTATTTTGTGAGATTACCCGGATCTTAAATCATCTACTTGAATTAACCACCCATGCTATGGATGTAGGAGCATTAACCCCTTTTCTTTGGGCTTTTGAAGAACGAGAAAAATTGTTAGAATTTTATGAAAGAGTTTCGGGATCTCTTTTCGAATGGGGCAGAGGGCTCGTAGTACCTACCACACTTCGCACCTACCGGCAGAGGGGAAGGAGCCTAAATCGACGGACTTGGACCGCGAAACCAAGCACGTCGCATACTTGAGAGTTAAGGACACTTTTTTGTGTGTTGTACGCTCGACGAACACGTATGCAATGAAAGTTGCACGTACGGTTCGGAGGAGAGAAAAAACAAAGCATTTCGAATTTTGTGACATCCAGCGTCATCAAAGTGACCTCACATTATTCATGCAGTGCTTACTTCTTATCTTATCTTTCATTCTTATCTTATCCTACTCTTTATGGTAATGCCTGCTCTTATAGGTGGGTTTGGAAACTGGTTTGTTCCTATTTTAATTGGAGCGCCTGATATGGCCTTTCCACGATTAAACAATATCAGTTTTTGGTTATTACCACCATCATTATTACTTCTTCTAAGTTCTGCTTTAGTGGAAGTAGGTGCTGGTACCGGGTGGACGGTCTACCCACCTTTAAGCGGTATAACCAGTTGGCGATCCAACTAAATATCTTGATTCCAGTTGGCACCGCTATAATCATGGTTGCTGCGGTGAAATAAGCTCGGGTCAATTCAACCACTAGTTTCCTAATGGCATCGGACTATATCTTCAACCAGAGAGATAGAATGGTTGCTGGGCATATAGCCTCTGAGGATCCTACTCGTTGTAATCAACGATTCCAAATATTCAACGTCATGACAATTGAATTACAACTTTTTGTCTAGTGTTTGTCTCATTAATTTCCATCTATGAGAGAGTTCCATTTGGATGTGTTCTTTGAGTTGTTCCAACCTTTCTTCCCCCTCTACTCGAGTGTGGTCCAGAACCAACACGCATCGCTGCCACCATAAGATCCACAGAACCGTTCGTCGGGCCAGGTGGAACATATTCCGTACGAAGATGTCGTTTTGAAAGGGTGGATAAAGGCTCAAAAGTATAGCGCATCAATCCCACGGCCATGGATGATCATGGACTATCTGCTGCCATATCCTATTCCACCACCTCCAGGTAAGGACCGCCGCAGGGCATTGTAGAAATATATGTTCGATTGTTTCAGCTCTTTTTCTGGCTGGGAAACCCTGCTGGCAACGAACACACCATGGAAGTGCTTTACTTTGCTGTTCAAGCTGTGAGTGATCTATCAACCAATTGTTGGTGGGAAGGTACCTATGCATAATCTGTCACTGTAGTGATGTGATTTTTGCAGGTCTACACTTCCATCTTATAGGTGTGAGAAGGTGTTTATCTATGTTGAGATGCTTCTGCCATCGGTCGATCACTATATCTTTGAGGCAACGCTTAACTTTGAACATGCGATATGTTGCTTTGACGGTTAGACCGAGCAGAGTTTTAGGTTTGGCCTAGCTAAATCTATTGTGGGACTCAGGGTTCCAAACCCGTTCCAAAGGATCAATTGGGAGGGCCTCTATAGTCATCTCAGGAAAGAAGGCCCTCCTATTCTCTCCCTCTTCTAGCACCCTGACTCTATGCAATTCATTCTTCTGAATCCATTGGAAGGGATCTCTGTTTGCTGCCAGTCTACCATTCCTTTCTATTATGTACCATTCAATCAATGCGTCCTCCGCTCGGGTCATGTGGACCAGGCCTAGTTTCCCCCTCACCCCCTCCTTGGACACCCAATCCCCTTCTTTTAGTATCTTGCCTTTGTGCAGAATGGGCCACCATCCGACCGGGAGGGCTTCCACTAACTCCTCCAGGGCTGTCTCGACATTGTGGCAGTATCTTAGGACCTCCCTCATTCTCTCTGGGTCCTTCCAATCCCCATTTTCCTTGTCCCAAAGGTCACCAACTCTTGTCTCTCCATTCTTCACTCGTCCTTTCCATGGAGGATCAGAACTGCAGAAAATTTGACCCCTCTCATTGGTGATCCAGCGGTTTCCGAAGAGAGGTTGTCTTGCCACCTCTTCCCATCTGTAAGGAAGCGGGCGATTAGGGGGAGGAAGTTTCCTCCACATCTTTAGCAGACGGAGTCAGAGATCGTCTCTCCACCCTACCATTTCTCGGGGGCGTCATGGGATCTTCCAATAACAGTCATCTAACCATTGAAGGGGATGGACTGACGGGGGGGCCTCGGGGGCAAGACGGGTTATTTGTTCCAGTGCAAGTGGCCTCCATACTGAGGAGTTGTTGAAGATGAGGCATAATACCCATTGTAAACTGAGGGCTTGGGACTGGCCAAGAAGATCCATGATACCAAGCCCTCCTTTTGCCTTGGGTTGTGTGACGGCGTCCCATGTCACTCTGCTTATTGCATGGGAGTTTTCGTTGTCTCCTCTCCAAACGTAGGCTGCCACTTTCCTCTTCAGGGTTCTCTGGGCGTCTGAGTTCAAATGCCAGAGGACTGATTTGTACCATAGCGTGGCCAAAACTACATTATTAATAATCAGGGCACGACCAAAGAGGGATGTATGCTGGTTGTTCCACTGGAAAAGTTTAGCCAGTGTCGGGCTAGATAACCATCTGTCATTTCTGGGGTTTTTCCTATAATTGTTATTTTGACACCCAAGATCCGGATGGGGGATTCCAGGGCAGCCCAAGAGACATGATGATCTTCCGGTGGCTGGCCCCCTTGATGGTGAAGCCACCATCCAATCATTTTTTGACCCCAATTGACAGTCATGTCTGAGAGGGCACAAAAAAGATTCATAAGTTTATAAATCTCCTCCATGTTTTGGTGTGTGGCATCTGCTATAATTGTGAGGTCGTCCGGAAATAATGAGCAGACCGGGACTGCTTCCTCAGGGATGTCAGAGATCTGAATTCTTTTAAGGTCTTTGCTTTGTCGGAAGTTGACTGCTAGCGCTTCCATAATGATGATGAATAGGAAGGGGGCAATGGGATCCCCTTCAAGTTGTCTAACCGAACGTTGTAGCCTTATTGCCGGAGCTAGCACCCCATTGATCTGAACACTTGTGGAGGCGCTCTGATGCAAGATGCGCACCCATCGTCGAAAATTACTTTCAAAATTTAGGCGATTCAGGCATCTGTCTAAAAAAAAACAGTCCACATGGTCATAGGTTTTTTCAAAGTCAATGAAAACGAGGGTTGCATTACTCTTAGATTGGTGTGCCAAATTGATCACCTCGTTAATTAAAAGAATGTTCTCCTGAATATTGTGATTACGCATGAAACCGGTTTGTGTCGGATGGATGATGTCTTCCATTACTTTTGTCATACGGTTGGCAAGAGTCTTCGACAACATCTTATAAACCACTGTCAACAATGTAATGGGACGGTAATTCCTTATATTCATTTCATTCCTTTTTTTGTGGATTAGCGAAAGTACCCCTTGTACTACAAGTTCCCCTAAGTCCCCCGAATCCCATACCACTGTATAGAAACTCATTATATCCTCGCTCAGAAGGGGCCACATGGCTTCCCAGAATTCCTTGGAGAAACCATCTAGGCCTCGGGTTTTTTCTTCCTCCATCTGCATGAGTGCCGTCCAAATTTCCTCTTTGGAGATCCATCGGTCTAGCTGGTCTTTTTGCAACGAGGAGAGGTGCCCTTCCATCGGGCGTAGGACGTCCTCTAGTGCTTTTAGCCTGTCTTCCTCTTGTTGTGGGGAAGTGTGAGAGGAAAATAGGTCCTTATAAAATGTTATGGCGATCTTAACACAGTGAGCAGTGGTGGTGGCTAAGTCATCGGAAACCGGATCCAACAGGACTTCGATAGTGGAGCGGTGAGATCTTAAGGAGGCTGGGCTGAAAAAATGGGAATCCATGGTTCCTTCAGTCGACCATCTAGATAGTTTACCTCGAATTCTAATTCCTTGCAATCGGTATTGTGCTAGTAAATGTAATTGGTTCTGCAAACTTTGGATCTCCGGGATGTGTTCATTAGAGTTGTCCTGATTAGTTAGGGTGTGAAGCCTTTTATGAACGTCCATTTCCTGTGCGTGTCGTTTGCTGGCTAATAGTTTCGAGTAATCATTGCATTTTCTGGCTAGGAAAAAGAGGCCGTTAGTAAATCAGCGCTCTACTTAGTTGAAAAGATTTTTCTAATCTCTCCAAAAATCCCAGACATCTCGAACGTACGTGAGAAATGATTCGTTTTTAAGCAGGGAGGTATTGAGTTTGTAGTATCCGGGACCCTGATCTGGTCGCTTGCGGAATGAGAAAATTGCCCCGCATGTGCAATGGTCAAGGCCGGGATGGGGACTTTGCGGAAGGATCGTGGAAAGTTGAAAGACCTTTTGGATTTCCTGCGAGAGCTGGATCAAGTCAATGCAAGATTTTGAATGTCTAAACTGGTCATTGGTGCAATGGCAAGTACTATAAGTCTTTGTTGTCGGGTGTAGGTGTCTGAAAGCGTCTACCAGGCTCAAAGACTCACAAAGGTCCGCCATCAATCGCTCGTCTTCGCCAACATAATGTGGGCAGGGGTCGTGAGATCCTCATCTATCCAATTCTCTATCTGGTGTTGCGTTAAAGTCCCCTGCGATGATCAGTGGGACTCCTTGGGGAGCCAGAGATTGGAGATAGGTGAAAAAGGATGCCCTTTCTGCTACGGTATTTGGGGCGTAGATGCACAGGATGCTAATTAGCTCTAACTCTAACATGCCTGGGATCGATACCCACCTACCTTGCTTTTCGTCCGCGACCCAGTTAACTACCTCTAAACGAGATCCAGGCGGAATCCAGATAGCAACCCCAGTCGAGCCTGGTATCTTTGCATGCACTTGGTGGGGCCAAATTAATTTGTGTGCCCTATGGTGGTCTGGTTTGTCCATTAGGTGAGTTTCTTGAATACAAACGACATCAGGCCATATCCTACCATCTACTCCTCTCAGCTCAGGCTGATCCCATATTGCCTGACGTTTCAAAGGATTGAAGAAGGCCAGTCCATTTACATTCAATGTTTGAGGTCCAGGTCTGCATTCCGGAGGTTGTGTTTCCATTGAGGATTCCTGCTGTATAGGGCGTCTATTTCGTCAAATTTTCCTGCTTCCATCTTCGTATCTAGACACGTGTCCATGGTCTAGCAGACCAATCTGTAGTATTGAGCAGTCTGTATCGAAGGACCTTCGAAAGACAGGTAAGGAGATCCTCCTTCGACCAAAAGGAGTTGGCTTTCACTTTTTGGAGGGGGAGATCCATGAGTGCTCCATGGTTAAACCATTTCAGGTTAGAGTCCTTATCCTCCTCGAATAAGACGTACAGATCTGTAGTAGCGACCCTTATTAATCCATCAAATTGAGGGAGGGTCGTTTTTATTCCTGCTGGGTAATGCTGATGTAGAAAGTGGTCCATCTTTTTCTTAAAATCATTGTCCTTCAAATGAGGAAGGGACCAAATGTTGAAAAAGCCTCATCCTGGCAGCGTGAAACCCTCTTGTACCGGGGAGAGTTCAATCTTCATTTTGTCGTCAGCATGCCTTAGAGGGATAACCACCACCCCCTCCTTTTGTAATAGGTTTTTCTCGTACTGCCCTGTTTCCACCAAGTATCTGAGCTTTTTATGGCGGGGAAGGTTTGTGTGGGGATCAACTTGAGCCGTTGATTGACTCTCTCCTCCCTCTCTCGGTTGCTCAGAGGGGTGGAATTGTTGTACGGCCAAATGGCGGATCCTCTGGAATACTTCACCCCAGGTGATATGCAGCGGTGACCCTTCCTCTAGGGTTCTGCGTAGGGTCTGACTTTTATCTAATAAGGTAAACAGTTGGGCATAGGAGCAATCTCAAAATTCTTTTGTGGCTCCTAGATATTGAGCTCTAAAACTGTCAATCAGCCAGTCGGCAATAGTCCGGAGTTTTAATTTCGTATCCATGTCGACCGGGGGGCCATTGTCGTCCCCTTGGTGGTCAATATCGATTGCGGCCACATTCGGAGGGGGGGGGAGGGGAACTGATGGTTCCTCAATTTCCATTGGCTGCGGACCGAAAGCCCCTTCAAGGTAGTCTTTCTCGGAAGGTTGAGTAGGTGCTTCCTTATGCTCCCGGATCTCCTTCTCTTTCCTCTGTGGTTGTACTTCCTTTAACTGAGGTCCATGCTGGTCCCCCTTCCCCTTCCTTTCAGACAGTGTCCCCTCTGCCCCCTCAACCTGTTGCTGTCTACATTCGCTCTCATTTGGCTATCTTCCTGAGGGGAGAGATGGTGATACTTGTATCTCGCCAGGGGGTGCCAGGAAGTGAGCAGCAGGAATTTTATACAGTCCTTGGAGAATCTCAGACCAATGATTATGATCAGACGGACCTAGTTCGATAATACTCCTCACTGTCATGCTGCTCTCGATGGCATCCTTTAACTGGGCTTGGGCCCGGGGCCAGAAATCTGTCGGGGCTTCTGTGAACTGATCTTGCAATCCTGCCATTATCCAATCAACGATCCTAGGAATAGAAGGGGCCGGGTTGTGCACAAGTTCTAGGGGCTTCAAGTTGTCTCCCCCTTCCTCGCGCCATTGAAACAAGTTCGCATAAGGGTCTTTTGTGAGCGTGTTATCCTCCTTATTCCTGTTTTGTTGGACTACCTTTTTGGACTGGGCGACTGAAGACTCAACTACTCCTTCCTCCGGCCCTCCCAAATCTATTGTCGTAATTATCTCTTCTTCATTGGTTTCTTCAGTCTCCGTGGCCAACGGGGCGAACTTGTTTGCAGTTAACCATGTGTCTTGAGCAACCTCTATCTGCTTTTTCCTTTGCTTCCCTTTCTTCAAGGTGGGTGGTTGTTCCTTGTTCCCCTGATCCTTCAGATACCCTTCTGGTGTTGGCCCAAGCTGCCTGCCCCCATTCTTGACATGGTCTTCCACCCCTTCTGACCCCTGGGGGATGGTGGTGGTCCCTTGCGGCAGCAGGTGAGATTCCACCATCCTTGGGGGGATCCAGGAAGGGGGGGGGTTTAAAATCCATAATGGGTTCCCCTGTTTTATCCCATATCCAACCTATCATCTTCCCATCCTTATCCATTTTATCGACGTAGACCCACCCTTCGTGTCCTGGGTCAACTGTACGCCGATGGGTACTTATGAAGGGGTCTTGGATGAGACGCCCGGTGGCTCTAACCTGATTAACAGGGCGATGGGAACACGGCGGTTCGGTGCAAAGGTGCCCATAAGCCTGGCACTTGAAACACCACGGTCGAAGCTTATGGGTCGTGTGTATCCTGTATTCTTTGTCCTCCACCCTAAAAGGGATGATGTTGTCTACCGAGAACTTGAAGGGGTGTCCTTCTGGCAGGTCAATTGCGAGCATGAGGTAGTCGTCTCCTCTGGTGACATGGGGGGGGAGTGGATCAATAAAATCGATAATGTCGTACTTTTTCCCAAAATCCTGAACAAAAGTTGCTTGGATTTCGATTGGGATATGCCGAAATTCCACCCAAAAGTTATCTGACATCAATTTTTCCCTTTTTTCCTCAGGGCGTTGCTGCTTCGGGGGGGACCATGGGTAGATGCGTACTTCCGACTTGTCGCATCGTATTGCTTTCCATTTGTCCATGGTGTGTTTGTCCCCTTCATTTCTACAGATGACAGTGATTGTGGTGGACAAGATGGGCTGCAGGAGGAACATATCCTGTGCCTCCTCCATGTTTCCTTTGAGGGAGGCAAGTTGTTTCCGGATCCAGCCCACCTAGTCATTGGTGGATTTGAAAGCGGCATCATCGTGGAAGACCCAGTTACTAGCGTGGCGTGAATATAACTCATTCCTATCCCTGACCTTGTATGCTGGAAGGGATTTAACTATGGAGGTCTTCCCTTTCAGGTTTATTACCTTGGGTTCCGACGGGGTCAGGAGTCTTGTCAGAAAGAAGGCACCCCCCGAGGACAGGTTGTCTAACGGGATCTTTCACTCCCGCCCTTCCCCTTCCCCTTTTCGTTGTACTGCGATCGAGTGGCCCGCATGTGGTCTACGCAGGCGAGTTGCCCATGAGGGGGGGGGTGAGGGGGAGGGGGGGGGTGAAGAGGAGGTGGAGGGCGAATGCATAGGGGGGGTGGAGGTGAAGGGGGGGGAAGTGTTTTCCTCCCGTGTCTGTTGATCTGATGAATTCACCTCTCTCGGTCCTTTCTGTTTCCCTCTCATCAGTCTGTCCGCAGCATGTTGTCTCATCGCCCCCCGATATAACAATGTGGTGTTCAGCTTCTTCTGTACCCTCTGGTATTTTACCCCCAATTTCATACTGTTTTTTGGTTGCATGATGGAGTGTAACTCCTTAATACTTTTGACACTACGGCCCAAGACACGTGTTTGGGGGCTACAAAACGGATGGTACAAAGATCACAAGAGGGCGTAGCTAGGGAGCCGTGATGAGAAGACCGGGATAGTGCTGGAGTTGTGTGAGGAGAAGGGATGTGGGGGGAAGACACACTTGGAGAACCGTTGCGAATGGGGTATGAACACGCTAGAGGGTGCAGGGGGTGGCTGGTTGGAGGGAATGGGATCGGGGATGGAAGTCGTTGGGGGATGGAACCGGAGAGATGGGATCAGTGAAGGAGATGGGGTCGGGGGCCGGGAGGTCAGGAGAAGAGAACGTCGGAGGGCGGATACGGGGGGACAGGATTGGGGGAGGAGACGGGATGGGCGAATACGGGGGGGGATGGGATTGGGCGAGACGGGATCGGGGGAAGAGAAGGGATCGGGGGAGGAGCCCGTCGAGGTGAGGTCAGGGAAAGAGACCGTCGCGGGGCGGAGCCGGGGAGATAGGATTTGGGGGGAAAAGATAGGGGGGGGAGACCATTGGGGGGCGGAACCGGGGAGATGGGGTCGGGGGAGAGGATGGGATCGGGGGAGAAGATGGGAACAGGGGAGGAGGCGGGATCGGGGGAGGAGTCGTCGGGATGGAGATGGGATCGGAGGGGGAGATGAAAACCGTCGGGGGCAGAACCGGGGAAATGCGATTGGGGAGAAGGAAGGATCGGGAGAGGAGACCGTCGGGGGGCGAAGTCGGGGAGATGGGGTCCGGGGGGAGGATAGGGTCGGGGGAGGATATGGGGTCGGCGGAGAAGGTGGGATCGGGGGAGAAGACCTACGAGTTCGGGGGCAGAACCGGGGAAATGGGATCGGGGATGAGAAGGGATCGGGAGAGATGATGGGCTCGGGAGAGGATATGGGGTCGGAGGAGGGGGTGAAATCAGGGAAGGAGGCCGTCGGGCTCGGGAGAGGATGTCGTCGGGGGTCGTACCCGGGGAAGTAGGATCCAGGGGAAGAGATGGGATCGGGGGAGGGGAGATGGGATCGGGGGGGAACAGGGGAGACGTATTCGGGGGAGAAGAAGGGATCAATGGAGGAGGTGGGATCGGGGGAAGAGACTGTCGGGGGGCGGGGTCGGGGGGGGGGGATGGGATCGGGGAAGGAGACGGGAACGGGAGAAGAGACCGAGGAACAAGATGAGGTGTGGTTTAAAAGAACTATATCGGATGACCAAGAAGACAATGGGATAGTTCAAGAAGGGATGGGGTATAAAGATGGAGGAAGAAAAAACAAAGCCAAGAGAAAGCTCGATGGATGGGAGAACAACAGCAACGGGGGCGAAAAAAAAACCGAAAAAAAACAAGAAAAAGGAAACAAACGTCAAAAAAAAAAAAAAAAAAAAAAAAAAAACTCAGGAAAAAGCTTTACCACATCTCCATCGCCCTTTGGTATCACCGAGATTCCTGTGCCCTATTCATCCGGAGGTTTCGACAATCCAATGCCAATATTTTAGCAAATCTCAATGTTCGATAAGTGTCTCCTCCTTATATATACCTTCAAGCTCTGCTCTCTCTTTCTTTTTCTTCCTACCTGCGTTAGATTGCAGGCCAAAGTTTGTCTTTGAAGTCAAACTCCAACTTGAAGTCAAGAGGTACAAGAGTCCACAGTCAATTATTGTAACTTCTGATCCTATATAACTCTCCAATGCCATGTTGTTGCATCTAATCTCCGGTCTGCCAAAGAAAAAACCTCTAAAGCATAAGGTGGTGGATTACCCTAACCTTGTCCTGATTTATGTCAACCTACATTCTAATATCCCACAGACATATATTAGAAATTCCTTCATTTCAAAATGCGATAAGTTTGCTTCCAAATATGACTCTTCATCTGTACTCAACTATTTGTAATACAACACTACAATTGTCTTACCTAATTTATATAATGCTCCTTTTTTTTTTTTTTTTTTTTTTTTTTTTTTTTTCTGGAAGCCATAGCAGGCCTACTAGGGGGGGTGATACGAGCAACCTCCCCGAGGAAGCCTGTTCCTGGCTGCTCCATCCATTGGTGGGGAGCATCACCGGCTGGAAACCAGGTCTAGTGTCCCTTACATACATGAAAACTGTGGACCAATATATGAGAATGGCTGCTCTGTTCTAATTGGTTGAAGCGTCTGCATGACCGGATCGATGCGTGGAGAGTGGCTACGACCCCCACGCCGCGGCCTGCCCATGCAGACGTAGGCACTTCCTCTCTCCTCTTCTTGTCCATCTGGGCTTAATCCCGTACCTTTCGCGCAGGCATGCATGCTATAAATTTTGCAAACGCGATTAGATTGCTCTCTAAGAATTTCGAGGTTAGCGCGATCAGTGAGGGTCGGCTAACGAGCAAGTTGGAAGGTGAGTGAGTGTGAGAGTTGGGCGATCCGGCGAGCTGGTGTGGGGTATGCGAGGTTGACGTGCAGGGCCGCGACGGACTGTGGCGCACGGGCGAACCTGGCTTGCATATTTTAACCAAGCGTGGTGACAACTCTGTGTGGATACGCGGCAACGGACTGCCGGTATCGTGGGTATTGATGCGAGGTGACGGACTGCCCGCAACGGGAGAGAGAGAAAGAGAGAGGGCAGTGGTGTGGGTGCGGGATAGGGCTTCTTTCTGTCGTTCTTTTCATTTTTCCTCTGTCCATTTGTATAATTTTGAGTTTTGATATGGTCGATCTCTTTATCGAGACCCTTTTTTTTTTAACTTCTCTCATATATTGTCTCGGATTTTCCTTGTTGTTTTGCTTGGTATGTATGCATGGAATGAATGTAGGTTCTCATTTGTTAAGCGATCTTTCTGATCTATTTTACGATGCGTGTTATCTCTCACCAGTATCACCTGCATGAGCTATGCCATTAGGCCTGATGGGAAATGCTCATTTTGACGTCCGAAGTCTAGCTGCCGATTATCCCCTCTTACCTTCTTTTTGCGTCTCATGTATAACATGTAATGATTGGTAGGATATTTACACTTATTGTTGAATACGATCGACACACGGAGCCAACTGGCTGCTCCTTACGTACACGAGTACGTACGTTCGCGATCTCGAGAAAACTGAATCGCCACGTACGCACTTGCCCGCGTAAGTCAGCCTTAACCACGTGTAAGGATATGGGGGGGAATGTGGCTTACTGAACAGCATGGTTGCACGGTCTCCTTCCTGGGCGTCCGACTACGAAAATTTGAAGGACCCGGAATATCGGGAGTATTGGGAGGGCGAACAACTCAGACGACGGGGAATTTTAAGAAATCCGGATTCCCTTGCCTAACAGAAAACGATCCATTATGTGCGAGGGATTTTCATTGTGCTATAACGAGCGACCCCCGGTGCCTCGACTACCCGCAAACTTATAATACGCAATATTTCATATCCCCCGGCTTCGTTGTCATTACTACCAGCTTCCCTCCATTCCATCTCCTCCTCCCATATCACCAACTCACAGTGGGACTGTGAAATTTCATAGCTCGCTACTGGCCTAGCCCGCTGTGCGAGGATTGTCGGTATCACCGGGCGCACCGAGCTTCGGGAACTACCCGACAGGCTATAGCCGAAGCTGAGCAGCGATTGCACAACCTCCACGCACAGGCCACCTCGGCGGAACCCGAGGCCTGTTACGAGCCGCACCAACAACTGGTCAAACACCGTGACCGACCCCGAAGACGAAATCAGCGGCGATGGTGATTCTTTTTGGCCTTAAACGTTAAACCTGTTGGCAGGGGCAATTTTGTTGGAATTTCGTTCGAGAATGCAAGAGTGTTTAAATCTATCGGTACGGTGGTAGCAGCAAGTGCCCCGGATTTTTAACCTGGGATGCATTGCGCATGCCATCGGCCTTATGCTGCACGACATCAGTTACCTCCCCTCTGAGTATATCCCCTTTGCACCTGTACCCCTGAAACTTGCCACAGGAGATCTCAGTTCCGACCTGGGACTCCACCCCCACTTTCCTAAAATCCTTGGCACACCCCTTTTCGCACTTCCGGGCCCCCATCCCATTCCGATCAGGAAGTCGTGTTAGGCGTGAGGTTGGGCGTCACAGCGGTACAAGAACAGAGAGGGAAGGGGCAAGAAAGGGCCTATTGGTGCCCCCCAGTGGATCTGACTGATCCCTGCCCCTCAACCCTCAAGGAAAAAACGGTTGGTCAGGTACAGGGCGCTGGACCCGGTTTCCAGCAATAGTTTTCCAAGACCCTCATTGGGAAGAACGACAGGTCAACAGGGCAAGGGCGCTGGACCCGGTTTCCAACAACAGTTTTTCAAGCCCGTTTGTCCCTCTAAGGTAACAGGCTTGGAAGGGGAAAGAGGGGATGGGTAAAATGCACAACAGTCATTAAATTTTTGCTTAGATCGGGCACCGTGTAAAACGTGAAGAGGAGCAGAGGCAGATACGTAGGCGGGCAACATAGGAGAATCAAGAAAGAGGAGGGATTACAGTTACGAGCGCGCCCGCCAAAAACGTCAGTTGCACAAAATTAAAGGCGCGATCCAGTCAGAACCTAGTTCCTTGCGCCACAAGATGCGTGCGAATGTTGCGCGACAAAATTCAGACTTTTTTTTCAGAGTACCTAAATTCCTAGTCTAAGTCCTAATTGCAAAAGGAAATTCCGAAAAGAAAAACAATTTTGAGAGCGCGTGGGGGCTCGACATCAGTTAGAAATTCAAAAATGAGATTCTCGCGCGCTAATCGCGCCAAAATTCCTAATGCTCACAGCAGAACAAGAAAGAAGTTATGGTACAGTTATTTCTTGCGCCCGTCATGGCGCAACCATCCAATTGTCGTCGTAGGGCTTTCTCGGTGCTGACCTAAACGAATTCGAACAAAAGCGAAAAAAAAGAAGCGAGGGTATCCATGCAATTGGCCCAACCGGACCCCGCTTACGCCCGTCACCCATCAAAGCCCTCCCGTTTTTCCCACATCGGCCTTGCGCAAGAAATCGCGCGATTGCAGAAGACAGTTCGTCACACCGCTGCCGGGACCCAGCCTGCTTTGTGCCCCCAGTCCAAAATTAGAGTCTGACCTCCAATGCCATGGGGTGGGGAGGGAAGGGGTTTGCAAAGTACTCGGGACCCCGCATTGGAATGTTGCGGTCTATTGTTGTCCAGTCCTTGAAACCGAGGGGTAATCCCTTGGGACTGATGTCTGAGGGTCCTCTCCCTGTCTCTGCCCACCTCCCTCATTGTCGCCCGACCACTGTTCTCCAGCAACCTACCCTCCCCTTGGTCCCCCCAGCCATTCATTTGCAAATCGGGTGATTCTCTTTTATATATTTTTTAGTCTATGAAAGTAGTCCAGCACCCGCCTCGTTTCCTGCCACGCTGCATGATTTCGAGCTGGAAGTGGTTCTTGAACTGCTCCTTCCTTTCCCCCCCCTCCACCCTGACTCCCTCCATAGCCAGCGCATAGCGCTGCCACCTATGTAACACCTGCAGCCTAGGCTGCGGGCATTTCGGCCACTGCGGCCGAAAAAGTCGGCCGCAGTCGCGACCCATAAGGCCCAGTCCGCGGCCTGCTTTTTTAATAATTCCCCCCCCCAAAAAAAATACGTTAAAAAATACAAAAAAAATATAGGGGTGTAGGGCTTGGAAAACCCTACAATCCTATGTTTTCTATTTTGGAATCGAACTTCGTTTAAGATTTTTTAAAAATAAAAAACGAAATTCGATTTAAACAAAATATTTAAAAAAATATATAAAAAGAAAAACAGCTAGGCTACCAGTCGGGCCGCCCAGGTCCCCGGTGGCCAGCCCGTGCAAGGACCAGAGAAGGCCCCAGCAAAAAAAAAAAAAAAAAAAAAAAAAAAAAAAAAAAAAAAAAA